GTCCATTGATGCAATCTCCTCGATCCCCCACTTCCATCTATATTGTAATGGTTCCTCCCTGTCCTCGTTGCATACCATGACAGCACTCTTTGGCAGACAATCTCCATTTATCAGTAAACTTCTTCGCCGCGTCAATTCGTAGTTGCAGTCCCTCAGGGGTGTCTGACATACCAACAAAATCATCCGCAAACAGCATTCCTGACACCGAAGTTTCCGTGTCCCCTACTTTCGCTCCCCTCCGGAGTGCCTGTACGACTTCCAACAGATCGTTGATGAACACCTGGAACAATGTCGGGGACAGCGCGCAACCTCGTGGGACCCCCTGTTCAATGTCGAAGAATTTAGACAGTTCTCCGTCTAGCATGACCGCGCTTTTCGTACACTCTGTCATCTTCTTCAGCACTCACCACATTTTCCCCTTGATCCCGTACTTGGACAATTGTTTCCACAGCCCATTCGTATGCCTTTTTCACGTCCAGGAAGAAGCAGTACGTCGGCTTTCCCGCCCTCTTTCTACCTTGGATGATTCTCCCTCCCATGAATGCGTGGTCTACGCACCCCCTCTTCTGTCGGAAACCTGCCTGGCCCTCACTAATGCTACGTTCCTTCTCCAATACTCCCACTATCCTATCGTTCAGCAGCTTACAAAACACTTTTCCTACTGTGTTTAACAGTGTGATACCCCTGTAGTTTTCTGGGTCAGTCTTGTCTCCTTTCTTAAACAAGTTCACAACCACTCCTTCCCTCCATCTACTTGGCGCGTACTCGTTTTTCCACACCCAGTTGTACAGCAGTACCATCAGCTGGATCATCCCCTTCCCCCCAAACTTCATGAACTCTTTGACTATCCCATCCGCTCCTGCTGCTTTGTGGCACTGCAGCTTGTTCACACACGCCTCAACCTCGTCCTCAGTGAACTCCTTTTCTAGTTCTACGTTCCCAACGTCTGCCTTCGATGTCTCTTCTTCTTTCTTGGCCCATGCGTCCACCTCCTTCTTAAACACTTGGTCAAAAGCTTCATTCTCCGAAGGCACTCCAAGTCTCTTGTAGTGTCCTGCTAGAACTTCCCTTTTTCCCTTCCCACTGCTGACAGTCCACCGTCCACACCTCGCAAAGTTGCTACCCCTGTATCCCCCCCTTGCGCGGTATTTTTTACCATTCCACTAATCCCTTCCCACATCTGCTTGACGTTCCCCTCCAGGCCTCCGTTGGCCTTCTGCACTACTTCGTCCCAAATGCACTTTTTCTTCTTTTTCACTAGTCCCTTCACCTGTTTCCTCATGGCCCTGTACTTTTCCCAACTCTCCTCAGACCCCTCACTCAGGTACTGCTTGAAGACTTCTCTACGTTCCCCTATTTCTTCTTTGAGCTCGTCATCCCACCACTTAACCGATACCCCACATATTACCACCTTCTTTCCCGCTACTCTCTCTGCCGTTGTGTTCACTATGGACTCCCATCCTTCGATCACCCTGTCCCCTGCTGCTTGTACGTCTACCTGTCCGTCTTCGACGCTTCTCAGCAGTTTCCTGAAGGGTTCTACACCACCAGCCAGTCCCTTCTGGAATTCATCCCGTGTCCCCTCGTCTCCCAAACGCTCTACTTTCCACCGGAACACTTTCCTCTGTTTCTTACTCTCTGTCTTTCTAGATCGGTCGATGTTTGCCCATATGAGGAAATGGTCGGTCGAACCTATATCTATCGCACTTACGTGCAGCTCTGGGATATGTGTGCTCCCCCTATCTACCAGGATGTAGTCGAGGATCGAGTATTCATTGCAAACTGCCCTTTGCCTGGTGAACTCCGGCTTATCGCATTCCCTCCTACCGTTCAACACCATCAGCTCGTTGCTTCCCAAGAATTCAAGCATCCTCACTCCGTTGTCATTCACTTTGTCTTCTCCGTGCTGCCCGATCGCCTGTCCTCTACTGGAAGCTTTCCCTACTCTGGAGTTGAAATCGCCCACCATGTCAACTTCTCCCTTCCTACCGAACCTCTGGACATCTTCCCCAATTTGTCCAAAGTTCTCCTGCGCCTTGCTTGCGACTCTCTTCGACGACGGTGGGACGTAGACGTTACCTAGAAACAAATCTTTCTCGCCCCGCTCCCCAGGTATCTTAAGCCATAGGCTTTCCTCGAACTCCGTTTTCACCACTACTTCCACCACGTCAAACAAGTGTTCCTTGACCAGGAATCCGACTCCCCCCTCCCCCCTTTTCTTCGGGCCTAAGCCCTTTGTTGCCTTCCCTACCCACCGGTATTTCCCTTTGTTGTTTGCTTACCACGTCCCCATCCTTCAATTCCCACGTCTCTTGGATTCCCACTACATCTAGATCGTTTTGTTCTACTTGGTTCACTATTTCCAACCGCTTGCGCTCACTCCTTGCGAACCGGCACA